GTACCTCTCCTTTATCCCTAGTGTGGACCAGTCCTAGGTACCTCTCCTTTATCCCTAGTGTGGACCAGTCCCACGTACCTCTCCTTTATCCGTAGTGCAGGTCAGTCCCAGGTACCTCTCCTTTATGCTTCCACCAGGAAGAACATTTCTTACAATTCAGGGATGTGTTTTCTGGTGATTGAAAGTTTTGCTGGGTTGGCATTGGGGTCTCTTAGATCTGCAAGACATCTGCCCATGTCCTTGTGGCTTTTAGGGTCTCTGTTGAGAAGTCAAGTGTAATTCTAATAGATCTGTCTTTGAATGTTACTTGACCTTTTTCCCTTTTAGGTTTTTAATTTTCTTTCTTTGTTCTAGTCTCTTTGAATGTAAGAGTTATTTCACAAGAGAGTATCACCTCATTTATATGGTTGATTAACTAATATTAAGTAAGAAACTTGAAAATTATTAAACTCGAAGTATTATAAATAGTTTCTATGAATATATTTCTTTCTCTGCTTCTTAAAGCCTTTTTTTTTTTCCAGAGCTAAGTTTTCCTTCATTGTCTTAGGTAGCTAAATTAATCAGAACAGGATAGAAGCAGCTTCCAACTTTGGCACCCTTGTTTTGCTAGTTTCAGGACTAGGTGCTCAAAGATTGTTTCAGGAACCTTATCTGCGTGTGTTGCTTGGTTCAGCATAATATGAAACAGGTCAAACGTATTGGGGACCCTCTTGTAGGAATTATACCATGACTGTGTTATTTTTTGATAAGTATAACTTGAAGCTGTAGATTGTAGGTAACAGCATAGGGACTGTTGGAACATATGTTAGGAATCAGTAATGAGTGAAACCCTTGCCCTTTCGTTCAGTTCATATTCTGGATGGGGTAGCTAGGTATTAATCAGTTAACTCCATAGTGTGCCAACAGTATGAATTGAAGTGCACGCTATCATGGAAAGAAACACACGCCATGGGGCAGGGCGTGGTGGACATGTGACCTACTCCCGTCATGGAAGGCGCTGTAGAAAGGTTGATTGAATGACGGTCTGAAACTGGATGGAGTCATCCAAGGTCGCACAGTTAGCTCGGCAAGTGGAAGACAGCGCCCGTGAGCGATTGGAGGTAGGCCGTGTTCAGGATGTGCAAGGGCAGGAGATCAGTCTGTCCCAACTGTAGAAAGTAGTCAGTGTGGACACCGAAATCAGGGTGTGTTCTAGTGTGAATTGATGGCCATTAGGATTAGGATATGTGGAGTTACAGAGGAAGAAGTGGCTTTAAAAGCTATTACATGGATAAAATTGATAGGCTTTGAAGGTTAGATAGCTACACAGGGAAGGCAGTATCGGTCATCCATTACCCTTCTCCTTTCTGTGGTTCATCCCTGAGCCTGTTATTTCAAGACAATGTCTGGCTCTTCTTGCCTGTGTCTGTTCTTAATGCTCTGGTGAGTGTCTGTGTTCTGTTTGGATGTTTTCCCCCCACCCCAGGTTGTCATGCTTATTTCCCAGGAGGGCACTGGCATTGGTTAGTTGATCAGTGAGCATTTACTGAAATGAGTATTTCTTGTTTCTGTAAATCTTTGTAACCTAAAATTATTTTATTAAAAATTACACTATACAAACACATGTACAGTGTTTCTATTGATGTCTAGGGCACAATAGATTGAAGGGCATGTATTCACCACCCAGGACCAGAAATAGACTGTTTTATACTCCTAAGCCTCTCTTAGGCTTCTTTCAGGGATGGATATACCCTGACCTGACTTTAAAAACAATAAAAAAATTTTTTTAGAAAAGTTTTATGTGTTGGGGTGTTTTGTCTGCATATATTTCTGTACAACATGTGCATGCTTGGTGCCCACAAAGGTCAAAAGATGATGTATGATCCCCTAAAACGGGAATCACAGATGGTTGTGAGTACTTTATGGTTGTTGGAAATCGAACCCACATCCTCTGGAGGAGCAAGCAGTGCTCTTCACTGCTGAGCCATCTCTCCAGCCCTATCCTGACTTACATTCAGTATTTCTTTGCTTTAAAGAAAATATTGGCACTATTTTATTGCTTGATGTCTGCCTGCCATTATGTACAAATTGAACACTGTCATACATCATTCTGTTTTACCCTCCAGGCTTACTAATGTGTAGGTGCTGCGAGGGCATTTGCACTGCTGTGTGATCCTCTCAGAGAATACATGTGAAATGGTTTGTTCTGTTCTTGATGGACAGTGAGGTTAAATTTATCATTCCTCTTAGGAATAATGTGGCTCCATGCTTTCTTATACATGGTTCCTTAGGCATGGGTAATAGTGTCTTGGCAGGTGACGTTGGCCATCTGGGCATGTGGGCTGATGTGAAGATTTATTGTAACACAGCATGGCCATTTGCTATGGTTAGTTCTGCACTCCAGTGGCTGGATTGACAGCAATGATAGAACTTGTAGTTCTGAAATAAGTCACACCTCCAGGCCACACACAAGGAGTGAGATTGCTATGCGGGGAGTGTGATGGTCACTGGAGGACTAGCCTTTGAAAGACATATGTCTTAATGACAAGCATTATCATTAATGAGTATCGTCATTAGTGGTTATGAGTGGTGGTACAGCATTTGGTTATCTTTGTTGAGGAGAGTTCTTCCTCTGATGCCTTCTTTACGGAAGAACGAGCAGAACCTCAGAGGCTGACTGTGCTTTGCTTTGCAGCTCCATACTTTTCATCAGTCCCTCCGTGACCTCAGCAGTGAACAAGTTCGGCTTGGAGATGATTTCAACAGGGAGCTTTTCAGAAGAAGCCGGTAAACTGGGGACAGCGTTCCTGGGAGGCACGACTTAGCAAGAGAATAAGCTCGTTCCTGTAATGGACATGTGTACAGAGATTCAGAAAATGATGATGTGCTTTTATATGACTATTTGAAAATTTATGTTTTGCTTGTGTTTATACACATGTGTACATGTGTGTTCTTGTATGTACAGATGCATGTGCATATGTGTGCAAAAGGGGACTGTAGGTCAAACTTGGGTATTCTTAGGAGCCCTTTTTTTAAAAAAAAAAAGTTTATAAATATGAGTATGTGTGTATGCCCCTGAGTGTGTGTTTGTATGTGTGTGTCTGAAGGCCAGAAGTGCCTGATCTCTTGGAGCTGGAGTTACAGGCAGTCGTGAGTAGCCTGGTCTTCCGCAAGAGCAGCAAATGCTCTTAACCACGGAACTGTCTCTTCATCCCTGTACCATATTTTTTGAGATAGAGTCTCAAAAATAAAACATAACAAACAAACAAACCCCCCAAAAGCACTGGGACCTGATGCTCACTGATTAGTGTAGGATGCTTCTCTAATAATCTCTAAGGGTTTTTCTGTCTTTACCTACCAAGTGCTAGGATGACAAGCACATGTTACCACACCCAGCTTTTTACATGGGTGCTAGGGAGTGAAAACAGGTCCTCACGGTTGTGTGACTTGCATTCTAGCAACTGAGCTATGTCATCAGTCTCTAATATTTATTAATAGGACAGTTCAAAGCCTTGTGAATTTATGGTTTCTCATGACTCAGTGATTTTTGCTGTAGTGAGTTGAAACCCTAGCTGTCAAATATATCAAGCATAGTCCATAAAACTTACCTGAAATTAGAAGAGAAAGGCAGGAAAGTTAGTAGTAAGAAAGAAGCGAACTTTAGGTTTCTAAAACTTCATTGCCTTCATAGAATGCTGATGTCATGGCATACATTAGGAGAGTAGGAGAGCTATTGGCAAAGAAGAGAGAGAGGGGACAGACACAGACAGATGCAGAGGAGAGACTGATGGTTTATACACTAACTTTTAGCAGTTCAGAGAAAAAAAAAAGGACATGAAACTTGTCTGTATGTAGACACAAGCCATTTAGAATCTGATTCCTTAGTTTACTTGCGATCTTTGAAAGCCTCTCCATTGAACTTTTGACAATTTAGTAGAGTTTCCAAAAGCTGTTACTAATATCAAATTTTCTCATTCTCTTTTATTTTCTTCATCAACAGTAACAAGTGTTTTACTTTGAAGTTTTTTTTTTTTTAAAGAGACTAAAGTTTTTATATTTTCTTAAGGGTAATATTCTAGGGCCGTTGGCAGGGTCCAGATTTAACTGTAGGCAGTAAGGTCCCAGAGCCTCTGCTCTGTACCCCATGCAGTAGTCTGTGGTTTAAGATCATTTTCATGCGGAGCTAGTGGGGATGAAGCACTTATATTAGTGATTGGTAAGCTTAGTTACTGGTAAGACAGAGAACTCAATGCTTGTGTTTCTCTTGACAAGATGATAAATTTGCAAAAATCAATCATTCTTCTTAATCTGGAATGATTTTACTCTGTAGAGTTTATACGTTTGGAGCAAGGATGTAGACAATCCACTGGGTCCATGAGTTTAGGAAGTAGATCCTGGAGAAGATGTAGAGACGAGTTAGTTGATCAGGTCACGAGTAGGTGCAATACTGTGCTGTGGCTCTCCTGACCTACAGACTACACCATTTTACTCCTGATCTATAGATCGTACCATCTAAGAAGTGTCTGCTATTTGGATGCACAGGGAAACAGGGAGACTTTAATCTCAAGTAGGAATTCAATTTATTTATTTGTGAAATGAGATGACATTGCATTGTAGATGAGTAAAATTGAATACGTTGCTTGTACCATGAATTATATTCATGTTTCTGATTATACTGGACAGGAAATAATTTGATTCAGAAGTGTTGGTATTTTCTTCTTTTCTTTTTTCTTTTTGAGACAGGGTCTCGCTATGTAGTTCTGGCTGTCCTAGAACTCATTACTTAAACTAGGCAGTCCATGAACTCACAAACCTTCTTCCTAAGTGAGGGAGTTAAAGGTATGCACCACCACATGGCTTAGTTTTTGCTTTTTGATATGTCAAAAATATGTTGAGTTATGCAAACACGGGGTAATGAGCTTTTAGAAAGGACTAAATTGGCTACCGTATGGAGAAAAGGTTTGAGGGATGTGAATTGGCAGTCTGTTGTTTTCATGTGTGGCTTGACCAGAGATATGACAAGAGATATGATGAACAGAAGTCTGTTTCAGAATGTGTTTTTAGAGACCAAAGAGCCAGGATTTGGTAATGGATTGCACATGAAGGATGCCTATCAAGGACAGCCCACAGATTTCTACTTGTAAAACTGAGGAAACAACAATTCTCCTTTATGATGTATGGAAGATTGGGTGAGGAAGCTGAGCGGCAGAAATCAAAGAGGCTTTCCCGGACATGTTAGATTTGAAATGCCTGTGAGACATTCAAGTGGAAATATAGAATAGTTAATCCTCGGGCTAAAAGAAAAAAAAGTCTGTGTTAGTACTATCTGAGTTTCCAGAGTGCTTGGTGGAGACAAGTGCTGTGGTCGTGGATGACGTAAAGAGAAAGACTGTAGAGGACAGAGCTGAGTCCTGAAGTGGTCACCCATGTAGGAGTCTTGTCTGTGATGTGGACTTGGCTGGAGGAAGGCCAGATTCAGGAAACCCAGGAGAGCCTGGAGATCTAAAGTCAAGAGAGAGGAAAAGGAACACACTTGCTCCGAGAGACTCACAGCTCAGAACACTTAGCTCTTAAGATATCTCTGCCAGGGGCCTTTTGGGGCTGGGGGTGGGAGTGGGAGAGGGAATAAGGAATAGGCAAGGGGAGGGCCTGAGTCAGGCACATTGGGTAGGGAAATCTCACAGCTCTGACTGACTAACAACCAGACCAGGCTGCTTCTTTATTTATACAGATTTCACAGAACAAAGACAGACTAATGATTATCCAAGGGGAACAGATTATGTGTTTGATTTTTCATTACATGTCCAGGGTTACAAGTTCAGTTACAATTAGAAAATACAGACAGAACAGATTTTATTCTTATTATCAGCCCTATAACTCCAATTTAAAGACTCTAAAGAACGTCTCCTCCAAAGCAAATGATAGCCTGCTTTTAGGCTGACAGTGTTTGCAGTTTGAAAGCACTCCAGGCAAACAGAAAATATCTGAAAGGGTCTTTTTATGACTAGCAAATACTAATACCTAACTCCTTATATCGTGTTGTTTCATCCTCAATGCTATAAAGTAGGAAAAGTTTTAGTCAATCTATCTTATTTACTGAGTTCTATTCCTCCAGGGGTGTACCGCCCCCTATCTGTAAACTACATTTTCAAAGAGCTTTAAGCCTATAATAAAAAGAGACCTTGAATCTGTAACCTACTCTCCTGGCCAGTCAGAGTTTGTCAATTGTCTCTATACCCTGCACCAGTTATACTGTTAGAGCTTGCTCCAGGGCAGAGACCCCAAGAAGATTTCTGGAGTAATGGCCTCATCTAGCTATGTGTTATGTGTGCTTAATGATCTCCAGGGCGAAGGGAAGCCTTCCAGAGAGAGCCAGATAAAGTTAATTTGAGGATTATACTAAAAAGACTCAGACATAAATTGTCTTGGGAAAAGACATAAAATGAATCAATGCAGAGCAGAAAGTCCCTAGGAATGCAACACACAGTGACCAAAATGCAAAAGTTAGAGACAGAAGGACAGTGGGAAGGACAGTGGGAAGGATAGTGGGAAGGACAGTGGGAAGGACAGTAGAAGGACAGCGGGAAGGACAGTGGGAAGGACAGTGGGAAGGACAGCTGGAAGGACAGTTGGAAGGACAGCGGGAAGGACAGCAGGAAGGACAGCGGTCAGCTCAGCTTTGCTGGAACTGTCAGGCAGCTGTGCTGGGTGACTTCATGACTCAGTTTCCAGTGGATATGGCTTTGCCATACTGTTCTCTGAGAAATTATCTAATTATAAATTATATAGATACAATAATGTTATTACTAAGAGGAAGATGCAATCAGAAGTAGTAATGGATACTGGGAAAAACAGCAGTTAAAATGCTCTCTTCTTAGATTATTGAGTTATTGCCGACAGGTTGGGTATGCCAGCTGAACATTGCAAAGATAGTTGCTTTGCGGTATGCCAGTATAAGTGGTGGTAAAGTATAAAAAGAAGAGTTAGTAAAGTTTTCTAAGAATTCAGTGAGAGTAACCCCTGTATGACAGCCGCACAGCAAGCTTGCAGATGCAGCCAAGCTAGAGTAAGAAAGTAAGTGGCTTTTGAGAACAGTATTGCCAAGGGGATGGGACTAGATTATATGTGTATGGGTGATTCATGCAGGAAGTGGGGGGATGTCAATGGACATGATGGACACCATGAAGCGATAAAGAGAATTAGGAGAAATAGCAGCCCCAGAGTGACGATGGTCCAGGTGTGAGGCTGACTGAAGTGTGAGATGGATGGTGAATATGGAAGAACCCCAGTTCTTCTCATGACGGGCTCCATGGCATGAGTGTTGTAAAATCACACAGGCAGCCAGGCGAAGAGTGCATAGCGGCAGTGAACGTGACCAGTACTGCAGAGGAGTTAGCGAGCTAGATACTTCAGAACAAGGAGTCAACTGAACCTATTTGATTAGAAATGATGTTGGCAACAAGCTAAAGGATTAAGAATGGAAAAGTGTTTGGATGCTGGTTGGGAGTCCCTGCAACAGCAGTGGAGTGTATGGGAGGGAGGCATTTACTTGCTGTCTTTTTAGACTCTGTGATTGATGGTGCCACTAGTTTGATGCACTTGTAAGGATGGAGTTTGTATATCTCGAACAGGCTATGAGATGAAGAGTTTTGTTTTCCCTTTGTTTTCCAGAACTGTTTCTTTGTTTCTTGCTAATTTGAAGCCCGGCTGCTGGAGAAATGCAGTGTGGTGGTGGTTCTCAAAGACAGAGCTGCAGCCCACAGCTTCAGCATTGTGTAGGAATTTGTAGAAATACACATTCATGGGCCTTATGCCTGATTTACTGATTCAGAAAATTTCGTGGGTAGGGCCCCATTAGCATGTTTTAACAAGCCCTGGAGGAGAATTCAGAATAACAATTACTGCGAAGTGGGGACAGGGTGAGCTCGGTGTTAAAGCACTTGCCTAGGAAATGCAAGGCTCTGGTGTTGGTTCCCAGCTCAAAACAATGACATCAATCAAAACCACTATAACTTTAAAGCATTTGACTTGAAACCTGTTTCTTTCTTTGCTTAGGTCTGATGCTGAAACAAAAAGGGTTTTAGAAGAATTGACTGAAAAGCTAAATGAAGCCCAGAAGCCAGATCTGGTGAGGAGTCTTCCGTTATAAAGCTTTATTCATAAGCTGTGAGTGGTGGATCATACTTGTAATTCCAGTACTCAGGAGGCTGAGGCAGGGGACTGCACGTTTGAAGCCAGTTTGGATAGTGTAGTCTGAATGCATAGCAAGACACTGCTGCCCCCTCAAAAAAAACCCCAAAAAACCAACCAACAAACAAAAACAGACAAACAAACCAAACCCCCAATCCAAAGTGTATTATTTCTACTTGTAGATAAACGGAAAGATGGTGGCCAGACAGGTCAGAATCTAATGATGCTTTAGCAGAGTTTAAAAAATATGTTCTTGTCCATCTTAGGAAACGTTTGTGCATTTAGTGAATGTAAGTTTGAAATCTGGGAATAGTAGTAGATAATAGGTAGAAGTGATTTCTACATTTTGAAATTGTGGAATTTTTAATGAATATTTGAAAGATATTTTGAAGTTCTGATCAGTGTCTCCTCCGCAGCATTTATTAAGTATTTGAGAAGGGCAGAGGCTTGGCGTAGTGCTGTGTAGCTGCTCAAGTGGCTCAGAGCATCCGAGACTGTAGTCACCATTGCTGTGGGACAGCCTGGCTCACTGTGACAGGAAGTCACCGTTGTCAGCGTGACTGGATTCAGAAGCCCCTGAGGATTAGAGAGGCACACATTGGCTAGACTGGGAGGCTGTTCCTGGGAGGGTTAGCCGAAGGGACAGCCTTTTCTTGAATGTGGGTGAGACCATGCAGCAGGCTGGGGCCTAGGCAGGATGAAGGGTGAAAGGAGAAAGCCAGCCACGCTCCAGCGCCCTCCTTTCTATCTCTTGACTACCACGATGGGAGCTGTTCTGCTCTGCTGCTGTCTTCTGTGTTCTGTTGAACGTGTGATAAGTCCTCCTGCCTTAAGCTGGTCTGCCAGGTCTTGTTTAATGTGGTGTGATTTTAAAATTTCTTAATGACCAAGTTTTATTGTTCATGTGCTTATTTTTAATCAAATCTTTATCCTTGAGTCTAGTTTAGCCTGGGCTACGAATTGAGACCTAGTTTTAAAAACATCAGACAAAACAAATCATTTTTTTTCCCCCTGCTTTAGTTTTTTTTTTTTTTTTGAGAAAAATATTAATAGAAAATGTTCCTCAAGTGTTAACAAACTTGTCAGCGCCGGGAGCAGGTTTTCTTCTCACATTTTGTTTTTTCAAGATAAAAAAAGTTAATAGAATTTTTTTCTCCTGGAATATTTTATTCAAATTTAAGAGTCTAGTTTTAAGCCGACTGTATTTCTTCATTTGTGTTTAGAGTTCCCTATAGTAGACAGGTCAGTTCATCTTGAAGTCTGAAATTAGTAGCTGCACCTGTCAAGAGATGGATTTCTTCTGTGTTCTGTTTTCAAAGAGATGACTCAGCGGCTGACCCAGGGAAGTGTGCCCATCTCAACAGCAGGAAATCTTGCTGTATCACCTACCTTTCCTCTCTGGTGATAATTGTTTTTTCTTTTTTTGTGAAGATCCATGGGTGGGGGGGACCCCTTACTATCTGTTTTCTGTTGTTGTAAGCTGACTCTTAATTGTTAAGACTTGGGAGTGACCTAGGTAGGCTATACTTACATTTTCACATGAAGTCTTAGATATTATTTCCAGGTGTATTAAACTCACCATCGGTTGAAGTTGTATCCATTTAAAATGTTTAAAACATCAAGTACTTCAATCATTGGTCATTTCTGGGGCTGACAACATGGCTCAGTGGCTCCAAACACTTGCTATGCAATCCAGAGTTCTATCCTAGAACCCACCTTAGACAGAGAACCAATTCTGGAAGGTTGTCTTCTGACCTCCACGGATGCACCAGAGCCTGTCCCCCACCCCCACATATGAATAACAACAACAATAACAACAGCAACAATAATAACAGATGAAGCTCTTTGAACAAAGTCTCTTTTTTTTTGAACATACTGACTTAGTTAATTGAACAGTTAGGTGGCAGGAAAGCAAGTCATTGTCTGATTGACATACAGCTCAGTGTGAGCTGAGTGTAGACATGTATAACGTGGCTTTAATGCATCCAGTTCTTATAAATTCTAGAATGGAGCCTATCACTTGGTAGGACTTGGTAGCTTTGCCATGTTCTTTAAGGTTTTTAAAAATTGTAGTTAAAATGAACATCTAGAAAGTTCCATGTGCCATTGTGGTTTTGGTGAATTACCACAGCTAAGCATATCCTTTTCCTATCACTGAGATCTGGACATGGCTCATTTGCAGTGTCCTTAGGAAGCTCCTTCTGGTCCCTTCCCATCGGCAGCTCTTCAGTCTTTTCTAAGTTCACTGCTGTTTGCACTTTTCATGCTGTAAGTTAACACTTCCTGTTGTACACTCTTATCTAGGGGAACCAGACTGGGCTTGCTTCATTGTCTGGTTCCTTTTGCTGTTCCTTATGGGTGTGCTACTTGTGGGCATCACTTGTTCTAGTGGGCATCACTAGTTCTTAACTGTTTACTTTTGAGTACTGCATGGATATATTGCAGTACATTTTTTGACATCCCAAGATGGACATTTTGGTTCGTTCAGAGTTTTGGCTGTTATGGATAAACACAGCTGTCACAGTTATTGTTACTTTCTTGTACATGGGAGTGCATTTCTGTCAGCACATATGTAACATGGAGTGCATATATTAGGTGATTTCAAGCTTAGTAGACACCAGTGAATAGATTTCTGAGATGGTGGCACCAGCTTGTCCGTCTCCACCATGGTTTGAGAAGTTGTGTGGCTCCATGCTTCCCAGCTCTGGCCAGCGAGGCCTTTTAAGCAGGCACTATGGCAGGAGTCTTATTATCTTACTGTGGCTTGCCTTTGCATTTTCATTATCTTATTTTTGAATGGTTGTGGGCTCTTGGAGCTTTTTGCTAATGAAATACCAGATTATATTTTTTGCTCAACTTTTTGTTGAGTTAAAAGTGTTTTGTTATTTTGTGGATCTTTAATGAACCCAGAGTTTTCTGATTTTTGGTTATATTGGTGTCCGTCAAGCCCAGTCATCCTCTTATCTTTCTCCCATAGTCAAACTTGGCCTTTTGTTTAGGTTTTTGGAGAATTCGAATTCAGATCCTCATGCTTGCTTACTTAGTAAGTTCTCAGTTCCACTGACCCCTTTCCCCAGTAGCTAAAAGCAGATTGTACTACACTGATATCTCTGGTATTCTGCTGAGTTCCTCATACCTGAGTGAGCCATGGTCATGTCCCTTTACACCATGACTTTTTTTTTTTTTTGAAAGCATTGCATCATTGTTGGTTTGAATTTGGAATGCTGGTAGTGCATATTTTCTTAAGTTTCTTCCGTGGGGTACAATATCTAAAGTAATATCTCATTTCATTTGAGTTACACCCACAAAGCAGTCAAATTGCCAAATATTGTCTCCCACATAGCTAGGGCTTTCTTTCTTGTATACCAAAGTGTAAGGGTCCAATGATTTGCAACAGTGAGTGTAGGTCCATTTAAGTAAGCCTGCACTCCCTGGTATCACCATTGCCACACATCAGGAACTCAGTCCATGCCAGATGCAGCTGGTGTCACAAAAGCAGTTACCCAGCCATCCCCATCCAGTGTGCTCCTCCATTAAGGCAGAGCCCTCTTTTAGTGCAGAAAGTTTGAGATGTCTGATTGTGTACTTACCTGGCAGCTCTTATCAAGTTATATTACCATAGTGTGTGTCTGCACTGTGCTCTGAAATAAGGTTTTCTGGTACATAAAGGCTTGAGAAAACGGTTTCACTAAACTCACTCGGTGTGCAGTCCTGATTAAAAGTAGCAGTCTTAATCAAAGCTTAAAACACTATTGAATTTTAGCAGGTCTTCTGAAGGCCACATGATGTTTGTATAAAGCTTAATTTAGATTTTCTGACTCATTTATTCCAGCCAAAGTTGACATTTACAATATAGAACTGTTTGGCATATTGTGCTGTATCTGTGATTTCAGGATGGCATGCTGTCAGAGAAGAGGCAGTTTTGTTTGTGAGCGTTAAACCTCACAGAAGCTGCAGCTGCTCTCCCCTCTAGAGTTAAGTTTAACTAGAATTGCCAGTGCCGAGCAGTTTCGCCATGCGGGATTTCAGTACTGAGTACATCCACGAGAGGGGATGAGCGGGAGCCTCTGCTCCCACCACTTCAACTTTCTGCTGGTGCTTGTTGTTAATCACATTTAGTGTACATTGTTCTGAGGTTGTACTTATTCTTCATGCATCTCCACAGGAAATAAAATACATCTTGAAAGTTTATGGAACACATTTTTCTTTGAGAGACAAAAAGTATTGGTTGTTGTCGTATATGCCAAAATAAGACCTGTTAATTCCCTGTGAATCATAGTCTCTTTTCGGTTGATTCAAACTGTGCTTTGGAAAATAGTAGTTATTATTGATAGCCTGAGATCATGGTGACTGTTTGTGATAACACTTAACTGTGATAATCCAAGTTACATTTCCCTCATAGGGGAAATTGCAGTTCATTAGTTGTCTGTATTTCACCTTGTTGAGTGAGATTGGAGTACATAGTTTGGTTATTTTTGGAGAACATTTCAATTTACTTTAGTTTTCTGTAGTTGTCTTCCTGTTAATACTACAAATGTAAAGAGATCTAGCTATTTCTGATCGCAGTGGTCATTGATGAAATTTCAAGAATTTAGTATATGCTGCATGTAACAGAACATGGATGTTGCACAGATTACAGCAATAGAACAAATAACAAGTAGTTATTTAAGAAGTGTTCTAGTTTTATTTTGCTACAGTGACAAACACCATGACCAAAAGCAATTTGGAGAAAGAAAGGGTTTATTTGGCTTATACTTCCAGGCCACTTAGTTCATCATTGAGGAGAGTCAGAGCAAGAACTGAACAGACTCTTGAAGCAGAAGCTTGGAAGAATAGATTCCCAGGCTCATGCTTGCCTAGCTTTTTATGCAGCTCAGGACTGTCTGCCCAGAGAAGGGTACTACTCACAGTGGCCTGGGCCCTTTGGCACCAATGAACCACAATACAGTCCCCCACAGGCCAATCTGATTAGGAAATGGAGGCTTTCCTCTCAGATGACTTTAGGCTGGGTCAAGCTGACAATTAAAACCCTTCCCTTCTCTTATAGACTTTTGAAGGTCATGTTGGCCTTCAACTATGTAGCCTAGGGTTGTCCTTGAACTCATGACTCCCTTACCTTTATTTCCCAAGCACCAGAGTTATAGGCATGCACCACCAAACCTGGCTTTATATCTCTTTTTCAATGACAGGTTTACTGAGCTATAATTCTCATCACATTAATCTACTTTAATATGTAATTTAGTGCTTTGTAGTAAATTGCCTGAGCTGTGTGACTGTTCCACAGCACAGTTCAGTTTAGAGCATGCCTATCACTGTAGCCAAGTCTCCTCCCTCTCTCTCCCTCTCTCTCTCTCTCTCTCTCTCTCTCTGCATGTGTACATTAAATCTCTTTCTCTCTTTCTCTTTCTCTCTCTGTATGTGTATGTTAATGTGTGCATGTAAGGCAGTGGTTCTCAACCTTCCAGTGCTACGACCCTTTAATACAGTTCCTCAGGTTGTGCTGACCCCCAAGCCTAACATTATTTTCACTGCTACTTTATAACTGTGATTTTGCTATTGTTATGAATCATAATGTAAGCATTTGTGTTTTCTGATGGTCATAGGTGACCCCTGTGAAAGTCCCATTCAACCCCAAAGAGGTCACATCCCACAGGTTGAGAAACACTGACGTCGGATTCAGAGGACAACCTTAGGTGTCGAATATTGCCTTCTACCTTGTTTGAGACAGTCTGGTCTCCCGTTTAGTGCTTTGTCTGACATGTTAGCTGGCCCATGAGCTTCTGGGAATTCTCCTGTATCTATCTCATTCTGTTAGAGATCTAGGATTACACATGCTTGTCAGTCGCTGCTTCATGACAGTTTTGGGGATCTGAACTCAGGCTCTTGTAGTTGCAAGCATCTTACATACTGAGCCCTATGAGTGGATCACTCTTGATTTTTCATGAAACACAAAACTAGCAAAAAAAAGTTTTAAATAAATAGGCTTTATTTATTCTTTTAAATGAATATGAAATGTTTTATGTTCCCTAGACATATATGTCACCAATGTAGATTATTTTATGAAGATATCGTGAAACAGAACTAGCAGAAAAATGTTTTAAATAATAGGGTTTTATTTATTCTTTTAAATGAATATGAAATGTCTTCTGTTCTCCAGACATGTACAATTGCCAATGTAAATTTTTTTATGGAGATGCAAAATGACATGTATAAAATCCATTTGAATTTGCACAACGGTTTATTAAGGAAGACCTTGTGTCAGAAAGGAGAATTCCTTCATGTTTGTTTTTGAGTCCTAATTAAACATTTTTCAATTTGCCTTTAGTGTGTGATCTTTTCAGCTTTTCGTTTTTTAGTAAATCACAGTTGAAAACCTTGGCAAGCTCTTGTGGAGCCCTTTGGATGAGGTACTGTGCACTCACAGCAGGGTCTTCCAGACCATCAGGCTTGTGGATAAAAGAGATACAAGGACCTGAAGGGAATAAGTTAATAAAGGAAATTGGTGGCAAAGCTGCTATTTCACCTTGCATCACCAGAGGGCACTCTTTTCTAGTTAGTATATTTCAATGCTGAGCAATTACTGTGTTGTAGTTTGAAAATTTTGAGTCTTGCTGTTGGGATAGAGGTATGGATATTTGATGATTGCTTTGTTTTGTAACTTTTAGTTAGCTTTTTGGCCAGGCATTTCTAAATGGTGTCATTAGGAAGGATTCTGTGAGCAAGTCAGTAGGTTAGGCACAGTGTTTCCCCCCCGGGCGCGGGGGGGGGGGGGGGGGGGCGCCGAGCTAGTTCCCTAATGCCACTTGTTCTCTGTTCATCTTGAGGTTTCAGATCGAGTGGAGCGGCGGCTTCAGGAAATAGAAAGAGAGATGCGCTTGGAAAGAGAGCTGGTGGAAAGACGTCATGATCAGCTGGGACTCGTGTCCTTGAAGCTCCAGGAGGTTTGTGAGAAGTGCTTTCCTGGGCTTGGCCTGTTAGTTAGTCAGTCTTTGCTACAGTGGTTATAACTCTGGTTTGGGATATAGCTCAGCTGGCAGAACACCACATAAACTGGGTGTGGTGGTGCCCACCTGTGAGCCAAGCACTTGAGAAGACAAATAGCCACAGTTCTATAGGTTGCACATGGTATATACAACCCACAGGTATGCAATTCATCCCATAAGAGAAGTATAGCCTCTGGTTATAGTTCAGAACGTAGAATGAAGCATCCTAGAGTTTGTATGCCCTTGGCTTTTTGGTTTTTTGTTTGTTTGTTTTTTATAAACTCTTCTATGGGAATAATAATCTCTAATCGCCTGGATGGGAGGATAAACGAGGTAATGCTGGTGTCTTTAATGTGCTCAACAGTGGAGTTACAACAGCTAAAGTGTAATTAATCTGATTGTTTGGGGGCTTGGGCCAGACACCAGGCAGCACCACATTGCAGCTCATTTTGTAAATAAAGTTTCGTTGGATCACAGCCCTTCCTGATCCTTCCTATCCCGTCCTTGGATGCTTGTGTAGTGCAGTGGCAGATCTGAGTAGTTCTGACAGAAAATGTCCTGCTTATGGTATTGCCTGTCTGGGCTTCACAGAACTTTGCTGTTCTGTGAATTAGTTTGTCATCAAAACCAGTTGAGAAGCTGCATGTTACTCTTCGGTCTTCATTCCTTTTTATATTGAAATTTTAGTTCTATGATGTTAAAAAGTAGAAGAAAGAATTTCTGTGTAATTGGGTCTCCTCGGCATTCATGGTTTACCATGACATTGCCATCTTTTGTAATATACCTTAAGTGTATAGTGTTTTATTCCGAAATGGTTATAAGAAGGCTGCAGGTATAGTGCAGGCTTCTGTTGCTGTGATAGAAGGCGGCCATAAGCCACAGGTGGAGGAAAGGCTGTATTTCAGCTTGTACTTCCACATCACAGTCCATCAGGGTGGGGCAGGGACCTGCAGCAGGAGCTTCTGGAGAGCCTGTGGAAGAGCGGGGCTTGCTGTCTTGCCCTTCATGGTTTACTCCACTTGCATTTTTATAGCACCTATGAACACAAGCCCAGGAGTGGCGCCACCCACAGTAGGCTGAGCCCTCTCACCTCATCAATCAAGGAAATGCACTACAGTCTTGCCTACAGGCAAATCTTATAGAGGCTTTTTCTTTTTTTTTTTCAGTTGAGAGTTCTTTTTCCCCAGTAACTCTTAATTTATGTCAGGTAGACAGAAACCACCCAGGACAAATGTAAATATATTTACATTAAAGGTCCTTTATGAGTAGTTTATATTGTTTAAAATCGAGGAATGCTGCAAACAGCCTGAAGTAAAATGGGAAATGACATCTATCTAGAGACAGGACTAGACACTACTGAGGTAATTTAAGATGATTCCTTTCTCTGGCAGCAGTGGTAATTCATTCCTGGCTCCTAAGTCGCCATTCACAGGTGTAGCTGAAGCAATAGGATGTAAAGCACACCAAACAAAATGAGCCAGTCCACCATGTGTACGCCCACCATGTGTATGTCTGTCCACCATGTGTATGTCCGTCCACCATGTGTCCATCCACCATGTGTACCTCCACCATGTGTATGTCTGTCCACCATGTGTATGCCCACCACGTGTATGTCCACCATGTGTATGTTTGTCCACCATGTGTATGTCTGTCCACCATGTGTACGTCCACCATGTGTATGTACGTCTACCATGTGTACATTTCAGGCTCTGAAATTCAAACCACCTGTACCCAAAGGTAAGCTTAGAAACTTTAGTTAGACCATTTCCATCAGAATTGCCATCGGTATGTAGTGGCTGTTTACGCCTGCAATTTATGTATAATACTCAATTTATGTGTTATACGCTATAAAAGATTGCCATCAAGCCACCGAAGCCAGCATTGAGCCGAGTGTGTGTCAGGACCTGTTCAGGTAGCTTCCTTTTCTAAATTTCTCAAAAATATATGTAATTACAGGTTGCTGACTGTTATCAATTGGCCACCTTTTCACATGTTAGTAGACACCCTCAGCTCAAACCAGGGAAAAAGAGTTCTACCATGAAAGGGCAGCGTAAGCTGAAAGGAGACAGTTGCCCTGCTTAAAAAACGCTCCATTTTTTCTCCATTTCACAGAGGAGGCACGCCCCTGTTACCTGGTAGTTATCGGAGGACACTTGGTTTGAATAATTAGATAGAGCAAGTGGGTGCTCCCCCCTTTTAAAAATCTTGATTTTTATACATTTATTCTGAAAGCAAATTGCATCTAGTGAGCATAAGAGCGGTACTGAAGTGACAATTGTTCTTTTTTGCAAGAGAAAATTAGAGAAAATTTCCACACTTATTTTCCTCTCTCTGCAGAATGCACACAATTACAAAGAAAGGGGAGAGGAAGATTGCTTCCCACCCCAGTTCTTGAGAAGCCAAAGCCTGAGTGTGTGCACTGCGATTGTCAGTAGGCTCAAAGCAGGAGCCGAGCTGTGGTTTGCTTTGCATCCCTGACAGTACAATAGAGAGATCACTGTTGATAAGAAACCTTTAATTTCGTACTTTGTCACTTTAATGTAAGCAGTGACCTATACGTTTTTAAAAGGTGCTTGTGGCTTATAAACAGGGCAGTGGAATTTGGAAAATATTAATTTGGGCTTTTTCTTGTTCCCAAGTTAAAAGGCCTAGAGTGTTCTGGAAAGGTCATGTTTAAGGAGAGAGCTTTGCTTTCTTTTTTATATTGGAAATGCTTATGGAAATTCCTATATTAAATGCTAATAGTCCCGGTGTGTTTGTGTCTGGCTTTGTTGGGAGTTGAAGTCAGCTGGGTAAGAGGGCCTGGACTTTTTAACCATTACAGTTTGACATTTTTAAAATGTGTGTCTCAAAGACTGAAGGACTATGAGTCCTAAAATTGTTGAGAAATTAGGAAGATTCACTAAAAACATCCTAGGAGTTAGAGGTTGACAGTCATTTTCAGCTAGAGCTTGAGGGGCAGACCTAACACACGGTGGTTTTGAGGGGACCTTTGCCTTTTTTCATGTAATGAAAAGCAATGTTAAGCACTGGGATGTGGTGGATGCAAAGTCAGTGTCCTCTTCCTATTTAGAGTTGGTTCCTATGGAATGATTTACCTTCTTTTTGTTGCCAGCAGCTCTGGGCTTCCATTCCCTGTTTCAACATGGCCACTCCTACTGTTACGGGTGGATGGCAGGCTTTCTCCTGGGAGGAAGGATGGCCGCAGGCTTTGGATCCTGTGTCAGTATCTCAGGAGAAGTCTTGCTGGGGTGGCCTGCTGGTTATAGTTTGTAAGGTCACCTCTCCATAAGTTCCTTTAAGTTCTTTGACTTTATCAGTTACTTTTGTTACTGTGATTAAAGTACCGTGACCCAAAGTGACTGATGGAAGAAAAGTTTATTTGGGCGGGCAGATGGTTTCAGAGGGATCTATGATGACAGAGAAGGTGTGGTGGCAGCTGCGTGGGGGAAGGTGGAGCAAGCAAACTGCAGCTGAGGCCAGGCTTTGAGAATGCCATTCATCTTGGAGATAAGGGAGGCCAAGCTAAACAGTGTGGAGCCATTTCCCTACTGTGCGTTTTCCTGAGTGGTGCATTTGTGCAGGCTTTCCCTACGTGCTGGCTGTGCGTTTGTCCTCGTGTGGATCACTTATTACTCTTACTCATGTAAACTTAGTTTGCTAATTGAGTTTAAAGTGGAGAAAGAGTGAGAGTGGTTTTTCTCTCTCAGTTGCCTAGCCTGCTGTTTGACACTTGGTCCATCTTCTCTAATCTGAGCACCCCGTCTACCATATATCAATTTCCAGTTTCTGTCCGCGCCCTGGATGTCTCACAGTGATCTGCTTGCCTATTGCTGTTCTGGTGTCATTCTGTCTGAATCATCACACCACTTACTATGATATGGGAAATGCTAATGAAGTCCTTCATTATGCTCCATGAAAACCTGTTGGAGTTTTGATTATAATTGTATCGAATATGTAGACTAATTTGAATGGAAGGTCTTTGGGATCATATTCAATAACATTTTATAAAAGTTGTTAAGTTCATATAAGTTGTTTGAGGGTCTTATGCACCTTAAAATTATTCCTTCGTACCTTAGGATTTCTCTTCTTAGTGGGGATGAGATGCTTTCTTTCGTTGCATCGGACTCATTATTGATAGTGTATAGAAGAATACTGGTTTCTAGTTGACTTTTATATTCAGTAGTCTTAGAGGCACGATGGACTAGTTTTTAATTATCCTTTTATTTCCCCATCTACCAAATTGGTCTCATTCAATGGGTGGAACCTGAGGGCCAGTGTGGAATAAAATCACAAACAACATGGGTTGTGGCCTTATTCTTTGGTTTATGTATTTCTAAAGTGTATCCTTCTGTGGCCCATATTCCTAGGTTTGGAACAATCACTGATCACAGAAATGTTTCTTTTTGTACAAAAAGACAAGAAAACTTTTTTTGTGTCTTTTTATTCTTTATTTTCGTTTAAAATCATGATAGGGTATGAGAGATGTCAGAATCCTTAGCTACCTGTGTTTCCTCCTATGGCATTTACATGTATTGTTTTTAAAATTGCTGGTGTGGTGGTTGTTGAGCTTGATTTACATAGCTTAGCACTTTGTTAATGAGATGTTGTTTTTATGCATTAGTAAATTAATTTACTGGTGTTTATATAGCATTTTATATTTACATTGATTACTGTGATCAGTCTATAGCATTTTCTTCATGCTGCTTTCTCCAATTTTAAGATGCAAGGTTGTATGCATGCTTCTCACCTTGCATAGAACTCAACTTCAAGAGGATCAAAGACCTCAGCATAAGGCCAGGTACTCTGAACTTGATAGAAGACAAAGTGGGGAATAGTTCAAACTCATTGGCACAGGAAAAACACTTTCTGACCAGAATGTGGATAGCACAGACACTCAGGCCGACAAGTTATAAATAGGACCTCAAGAAACTGAAAAGCTTTTGTATGGAAGAGAT